TACTAGGTTTTCAGTACCTCCCATCTGTAAGACATAGGGCTTAGGTTATCAGAACTGTGTGTGGCTTTCAATCAGCAGAGGGCATAAAGATGTGCACACAGGTGCCCTCACCTGCATGGACTGGGACAAGCCCGTGAGAGGTACAGGGCGCTTGCACAGGCCCAGGCCCCCCAGACGGTTTCCCAGAAGACCCGTCGGTACTGGGTGTTGAAGTATGCATGGGATCCCGAAGCTGGGACATGGCCGTGCATGGTAGGAAGAGGCTGCCGATTGGACAGAGGCAGAGGTGACACAGTGGACGGCTCGTTCGGGGGATGGCAAGGGGCCTGCCTCTTCAGAAGGGAAGTGTTTGGAGGAGAAGCCAGAACAAGCCCGGAAAAGCAGGCTGGGGTGGGTTGCGGGCGTGCTGGACACTGCGTTAGGGAGCGGGGCCTCTGCTGGAGAGTGACCGTCACACCCTGGCTCCCGAGAGGGGAATTTTCCTGGCCTCGGGGGCATGTGCTTTGGAGAAAGAGACCCAGGGTGGGGATGAGTGGAGGGTGGAGACCAAAATAAGTGGGTGTGACCAGCAGGCTAGAGAACAAAGCCCTGCCAGGAGGTGGTGGCAGGGGCCTGGAAGGAGGGTGGCATTGGAGAAGCAGTGGCCCATCTCCCTCCTAGAGGAGGCTGTGCTTGGGAAGTGCTGAGATCCCAGTGCTCGAGCAGACAACATGTTGAGACTTGGTTATAGGCCGAGGGCTTCTCTGCCGGAGAGCAGGCGCCCCTGGCTCCCGTGGGCTCGCAGACATGGGGGTGGAGAAGGGAGGCCCACACACGCCATGCTCTCTGGAACGGAGGGCGTGAGCCAGCGGCCCTGGCAGAGCAGGCTGGGGTACAGGGCAGTGAGCTGGGCCCTCGCCCTCACCTAGAGGTCCCCCCAGGGCCAGCTCCACAGCCCTCGCACGGCTCGCTGCACAGGAGGCTGGATTCGGCATGACTGCTACTTGCCAAGAAGCTGAAGGTCCCCCTTATCCTCTGTGTTGGTTTTGAAAACAAAGCTAGAGCTCTTTCTGCAAAACGAAGCCCTTTTGTTTCTCTCTCTTTCAACATTTCCCTGTTACGCTGTGAAGCAGAGGTGGGTGGGGGACTTCAGAGGCCTGGAGTGACAGGCAGTTCTGCAGAAGGAGCTGAGAGCACCACTGTCACACACAGGTGACAGGAGAGGGCTGAGAGACAGTGGCCATGGTGTCCCACCCTGTGCCACAGATTCGATGGAGAAAGGAGTCCTGAGTGACGAGGCCCCTGGCCAGGAGCCTCTGGTGTGGACGCTAGGGCAGCCTGACCCTCGAGGCTCCCAGGGCGAGGCCAGCAGGGGATGTGGGACCCGCAGCTCCTGAAGCCTCTTCTCCCAGAGAAGGGCGCTGGCCCAGCGGCACTCAGCCGTCAGACTCCTGCAAGCCGTGGCAGCACATACCCAGAAGGGGAAGCACTTCATGCTGGTCTCATGCTGGCGGTTAAATCAGTAGATGGTGAAGCAAGAAAATGATTCCATTGAGAGTCCCCTAGGGAAAATCGTGTCCCCAGTGGGACCTCTGGCTTTGCTGGCACTTGCTTTGCTGCGTGTCTTGTTTTCACCAGGCAGTCAGGGCCCTGAATCAGCAACAGAGGTGGAGGAGGGCAGATACCACAGATGCTTTCAGTTTGAGTTTTTTTTCCTATTTAAAGTCAGGGAGGGGGAGGGACCTAAAATGTCAGCTTGTCACTCACGGTGCATCTCCCCACAAGTCAACAGTGAACAAGGTGGCAGGGAAAGTGGCCGCACGGACCTGGTAGAGAGAAGTGCCTAGCCGTGCTCACCCTGTCCTCTGCGGGGATTTGTAGGGGCCAGAGCAGTGTGAGGTGCCAGCGGGACCCACTGCTGGCATAAGGGCCGTGCCACAATGGCACCTGAGGTCAGGGAAAGATAGCCGGGGCACAGGTGCACCCTGCGTCTGCCGGACCTCCGTTCCCAAGGCTGGCTTTTGCAGTCTGTGTGGAGAGAGTCATGGGGTGTTAGCCTCGTGGAACTCAGCCAGTGTTAGGGGGAACTCCATCCGTGTGGCTGTGTGTTCCTACAAATGCACTTTGGTCCTGTCCCACAAAACAGGGTCAGGACCTTGGGCACGCTGGACATGCTGGGGACAGAACAGAGTCTGGGCTAGGACATAGTTCCTGATGCCAGGGCGGCACCTACAACTAAGAACTAGAGACTGGGAAGGTAAAACCCCAAGTATCATGTGTCATGCTGAGGCATCAAACAGGGAAAGAGAAGAAAGAGACAGGAGCATGAGACAGAGTGTTGACTCGGTGCTGCCATCATTCCTCCCCCTGCAGCCCCCTCTGTTAGTCCTCACGCCCGCTCCAGCACAAGGCGCTGGGCTTCACATGGGACTGAGGAGGAACTAGAGGTCCAGCAAGGACATGTGGCTTGTCCAAGGTCATGCGCCCAGTAGTGGCGGAGTGAAGATTTAAAGCCAGCTCTGTCTGACTCTGAGCCTGTGCCGGCCGCCACTCCACCTGGTACGCCAAGGAGAAGGCTGGGATCTGGGCAGACCAGAGGGAAACAGGGAGGGATCACGTGGGCCGGGGACCGAGCCTTGGATGAATGGTGGGGGGCTGTCAGAGAGGGTGGTTTGCACTGGGGAAGAGGGGCTAAGCCTAGAGAGGTGAAGGGGAATGCCAGCCACAAGCTTGGGGGCTCTAGCCGTGCCACGTTTGGTGTGGTGGCAGCAGTGGGCATTACGGCTGGGGAGTGAGTTAGAAAGTTCTCCAGGAATCACAGTGCAGGTACCATGGGAGAGAAGTGCATCCGAGAGACCCCGTGCAGCAAGCATCAGCAGGCTTGGTGGCATGAGAGAAGAATCCAAGATGCAGGCTTGGAGCCACAGTGGCTGGAATAGGAAAATGCGGGAAAGGGTTGGCTTGGGGTGGAAGTCTGCTGGTGCGGATTAGACGTATGGAGTTCAAAGTAACCTCAACTGGGTGTCATGTCTTGTGAACCACTAGAAGTGTCACAGTGGAGTCCAGTGCATGGGCAATTAGAGCATGAATGTGGGGGCCCCCCAGAGAGGAGAGAGCTGAGGCTGAGAATCGAGCAGCCTCCTAAGGAAGCCAGGGCAAGGGCACTGATTTCCACCAGGTGCAGCAAGTAAGAGTCTAAGTCAGAGCTTATACCTTTCCCAAGTAAAGTAACCACCTTTAAAAATATCTAAAGAAAACCTAGCCTGAATTTGTAGATTATTCTTCACTCATCCTCAGCCAATAGTCAGAGTTCAATACATTGTCACACCAAACCAGTCCACAGCACAAGTCCACAGTGGAGCTGGCAGCAGGCTTGGGGAATAGTGGTCTTGCTCCCAGGGTCTTCCATGGGCTGATGTGTTCCAAATGGAGACGACAAATGCATTTGTGTATAGCTGGGGCTCCTACCTCATTCTACAAGTTTTTGTCCATTTAGGGACAAAGTTAAGTTTTTAAAAAAATGTTAAATTGAAGATTCTATGTAATGAAGCAATTACTATTCTATGTAATTAATATGGATATATGCAATGGAGAGAGTGTGTAAAGCTGGCAACGTTGATCACTTTATTGATCCTGAACATGTTTTGACTAGGTAAGAGCAAAAATTTAGACTTGGAGGAAATTATCAGCATAGGATACTATCGACTGATAGCAGTGGAGACTACACAGAGTAATTTCGTCAGAGATGAAAACGGTTTCAAGAATTGTATTTTATAGGTAACATTGAAAATGACCAAAACCAAAAACCCTGCCCAATGTCTTCTTGATGGAAATTCTTTATTGCTAATATAATTCTCTTTAAAATATCTGTATTTATAAACATGGCATCCAGACATGCTTGGGGTTAAAGTTGTGGAATCAGACCATCCCTCCTTCTGGAGTCTGGGCTTAGCTCTGCTCACCCTTGTGGGGTCTGTGGAGGTTGGGGACCCCGGAGGTCAGTGGCTTTGGTCGGCGGGATGGGCAGGCCCGTGGTGTTCAGGTGGAGGCCTGAGCTCTGCTCTCCTCAAAGGCAAGAGGTAGAACTGCTCCCAGCAGGCAGCACTGAAGGGTTATCACAGAAGGATGAATGCAACTTGGAATGTAGCAATAAAAGGCTGAAGTCTAGACTGGTTAACTTAGTAAAAGCCCTCATGCATGTCAGACTGAAATCTGAGGGTGGCAAGGAGTTGTGGGAGCATGTTCAAGAGTGAAACTATTGTCAACACAGGGTGCATGGAAGGCAGTCTGTGGCTTGGTGCTTACTTAGACCACAGTCTAAATTGGTGCTCACACAAGTGGGTCTTTGGCGGGAGCTTGGCCACGGAGATGGAGAAGGGGAGTGTGATTTGTGTCAATTGTCTGCATTAACATTCCTGGAGCTTTCCTAGCCAATATAAATGATAGTTAAGACATTTTTTTGTGAACCTTGGGTTTCTCTCCACCATTCTACTGGAGGAGGTTGGTTGGAGAAAGACGACTTGGTATATTTTGGGGAGTTTGTGGGGTTTGCTTGAGTCAACGCTTGGGGTCATATCATGCCTGCATGAAGAGTCAAGTCAAAGCCATGGAAATCATGATAGAAGATGGAGACAGAAAATGTAGCTCTGCCAAATTTACAAAGGCATGTGGAGTCCTTAGGATGGACGTCACAGGAAACAGGGATACAGCGTGGTCTTTGGAGGACAAGATGGCCCACCTGGGGGCTGAACCCAGGTCCTCCTGCAGTTGGGGGGGGAGCTTTGCTGACAGGAATGTCTTTGTGCTCTGATGGGACTGTCCCAGCTGATCGTGTGCAGAAGTCACTGTGTGAGGGCCCTGACCCATGCAGGGGACAGCTGGCAAGCTCTCCCGCCCTCCCCTGGAGGCAGGGTGGCCAGCATGCCACGTGTATCTCTTATAACCATAACGTTCTCCTGCGTATCGGAGGTGCTCAGAGTCTGAAGTGAGGTTGCTCACCATTTCTATTTCTTCCCTTGCAGTTACCTTGGAGCAGTTCTCCCTGGCAGTGAAGAGCTGTCCCGACCAAGAGGACCAGGCTTTGTTAATGAAGGTAGGTTATCAGATAAAGAACTTATTTCCTAAAGGCTCGTAGCATTTTTATTGCCCCAAGGAGAGTTTCATTTTTACAAGCGGGAGTAGATTTATCATCTCTGAATTTTGTGCTCCGTGGGGATAAACTTGTCATCGGTGAGTAGGAGGGTTGCCGGTTAATGAGCACAACTGCCGTCTGCAGAGAGCAGGAAAGTGACAGGAGAGTGGGTGTCAACTACTAGCAGGGAATCTATTTAATTCCCCAGAGGGCTCTGTTGGTTCTATTTAAACTTATCTGACAAGAGTCTTGATTCTTTTAGCAGATTTATGAGGCTTGGCCAAATTCCACGTCTCCCACTATACTTTTTAATTAAGACAAAGGATTCCATACGTCCCCAGTCTGCCACCTCCTACTTTTGTCACCATAGGGAATGCTACACAAATTAGACTGCTCATATTAACCACTGGAATGAGCATCTTATGTCATCGATTCCTTGCCCTTGTGTGGAAGACACACTCTTCCCCCCCCCCCCAGTAACAATTGTTTTATTTCCTTCCAAGTGACAGGAGCAGAGGCGTCTCCAAATGGCATAACCTACATTTTAGGTTGCACATCTAGGTGAGCCAAAAGAAAAACTTGGCAAGCAGCCACATGAGTTAAATTAAACCTTGTCTTTAAAGGCAGAGAGCAGTGGGCGCCAGCAGATCACAGAGGTACACACACATGCACACACACACACACACACACACACTTTCCCACCAATGCCTGAGACTCCTGTGCTCACCTAGAAACTGTGCAGACTGACCTTGAGCCACAAGCGTTTCCATGATGTCATTTCCATTCTGTGCCATCAAGAGACCACCTGTACCAGGAATTGCATGTCTTCACCTAGAGACCAGTTTCTTCAGCAGGTGTCCTCTGACTTTAGAAATGGGTGGGAAAAAATAGGTGTCACTCTGAGGGATTTTCAACTCATTTGCCTAAGATGTGATATTTTTGGTCTGTCTTATTTTTTTTAAGCTTTCAGTGATGTTAGTTTTATGATAAAGACGTGCTGTAGACACCAAGTGCTGGGGTCATCTGGGAGCTCTGGTTCACCACAGTCCTGAGTGTGCGATGCGCTCACGTGGAATGGCACAGATTTGGGCACATCTGAGCTTGTCTTAGTATTTGGAGGTTATTTTTGCACACTTAATTCTTTATTCCCTGCCCCAAGCTCTATTCCAGAAGGACCTTTCCTACCAGGTGCAGCCTGGCTTTCTGTGACCCTGAAGTTGCTCTTTGGTCCCCCACACTTCTTTATCCTACTAACTGTTCAAGGTGACAAGGACACAGGGCCTCTTTTCCCCATTCTGTCTGGCATTTTCTCCTGTCATCTACCATCTGCTCCTTCTTGCTTCTCTCTTGCTCTTCTCCCACTATCCTTCACTCCCCCATTTTCAGGAGGTGAAGCCCCTGTGCCCTGCCTGGAGGTTACATGGGCATCTCAGAGCCCAGCCCCAGGCAACCACACCTCCAGGCCTGCTTCCAGCTCTCCTCCGCCTCCACGGCTTGGGACGCTGCAGCCCCTCTTTGATTCCCTTCATGTCTAGAGTGAGAAAGTGGAAAAATATATCACCCAAAGCCCTCTCCTCCTTCCACAGCTTCACCACTTGCCCACACTCCTGCTGTCCTGGCTTGTCTAGCACATCTGGTTAGAAACTAACAGTTTAGGGTTGGGAGAGGAAGGTTAAGATGGCCTGAGGTGTCCTGAACCCTGCACGGTCCTCGGTGACATTTAGTATTTGGTGTCTTCCCTTCTGGTTTCTGCAGACTGTGTGGCCACGGTAACCGAGGATGTCTGTGGGTGTTTTCTCAATATTTGCAGATATTTGAACAGGCATCATCAAAGAAGTTTCACTGAATAAAAATGTGTTCTCAGTTCATATATACTGAAACTATTTCATAATTATTTTTCAGGAGATTGAGGTTTTTTCAATGTCGCATATTGGAGGATACCATGTGGGTGTGACAGTGGTGTGTAGCCTGCCACAAAGGGGTGGAGAACCTGCGGCCTTGGGGCCACATGTGCATTCTAGATCCTTGAGTGCAGCCTTTTGACTGAATCCAAATTGTACAGAACGAATCCTTTTATCAAAAGGGGTGCAGCAGAGAAAGATGGAGCTGTTCTTGCCTCCGCTGGTGTTTAAAAAGAACAATCTTGAAATTAGAAGGCCACAGGTTCCCCACTACGGTGAGATGATTGTGTTTGCTCTGGTGACCATCTGCAGTCAAGTTACAGATTTAGTTAACCTCATGAAAACTGGTTGGAGGCAAAAAAAAAAAAAAAAAATACAGATCTGGGCCAAATATGTTATTTTTAAAAATTATATTTTGCACGCATATTGCTGCATCCCTACATAGTCAAAGGAAATTGAGACCTGAAGAGGAATATTTGGTTCTAATCTGTGACGGTGCTCTGCACACTGACCACCAACGAAATGCAAAAGATGAACACACAGCTAAGCATATCAGTGGGCCAAGGTCAGATACCCCAGGAAAACAGACACAGTGAGACTTTGCAGATGGTGGAGGCCAGAGCCTTCATCTGGTGACCAGGAAGGGCAGGAGAGAAAGGGAGAGAAGTGACTAGCCACCATTGCACAGCTAGTTAGCAGGAAATAGAACTAGGACCAGAAAACCAGGGTCCCCAGATTCTTGGCTTGGCTTCTTCCTGGGGCGTCCACTCAGGTGACTGAATTCATAGAAAAATCTACCGCCCCACCCCTGCACCACAAGAGCACACACAGGAGGTGAGACTGTGACGGAACCACAAGAAGGACTGTTGCAGCTGTCTTGTTAATCACACCTTCTTGCTAAGAGTACTGTAAGATGGGAAAAAGCCAGCTTCTCTGTGACTTAGTTTCCCCATCTGCCAAGCAGAGCTCAAGGCTGTTACTAACTGAAGGTTTGCACACCCCACTGCAGCCCGGGGAAAGGGCTAGGTAGGGAAGAGGTACCCCGAGGTTAGATAGCTTTTATTAAGAGTTGCCTTTCGGTGAGATTTCACTACTATTTGAACTCTAGAACATATTTAGATTCCATACATTATATATCTGTCCTCATTCACTTTTGAGCTCTGTCCTTACCCGTTTCTTAGTTCTATCTGTCAGTTAATCTCTTTGGTCCCTCGTGATCATTGCCCTGGGGACCCGTTCTCCACCCTTGTCTCCACTTACACTCCCCGGGGACTCCAGGTGCCGCCTAAGCCCCAGCCTCAGCTCCACTCAGCAAGTCTAAACCTCACCAGTCTCTGTCCTCCCCACCCCCAGCATGAGGACCGGGGGACAGCCTGTGGCGTGTCCCTGTCCCCACGCTGCTGCTCAGGAACCCATTCGTCTATTCATCCTCTGCAGCCTTTTCCAGAGCCAACCTCTCCCTCTGTCCCAGAAAAGAGCACCTGGGCTTGATCCCAAAGGGGCAAGTTCTAGTCCCCAGCCTGCCAGGGACCACTGCATTGCTTTGGGAAGGTCGCTTTGATCTTTTTTAGCCTAGGGTCCTCTTCTGGTAAAAGACATCAATTAGAAGACCTCCAAAGACCATTCCAACATCTATACTCTGCATATTTATTACTGGACATCGCCAACAACCTGTAGTTCTAAATACTCTTGGCAATGAACCAGCCTGGCCCTCTCCCCCTGTCCCTCCCCTCCAGGTGCTGCCAAATGCACCTTCTTGAGGCTCCACATGTCACTCTGCATTCCTTTCCAGCCTAACTGCTTCTCTTCTGTGGAATAGGGTGATCACAGAAATCCTCCAAACCTAGACTTTCTTGAGAGTGAAAGGGGTACCATTAAAAATGCAGCTTGGATGACAGGCACAGTTCTAACTGTCCCAGGCATTCTAGGATGCCAGGTCGGCCTAATTTTTAATCAAGTCCAAACCCCTCCCTCCACCACATGGCTCAACCTTGCTCAGCAGGCTGCTCTTTCTGACCCTACACCCATTCCCCCCAGGATTGTCTCGTCTTAAAAATTATACCTTCTTTTTTGGATGGAAATTGGCAGGAAGACAGGTTTCTTGGTGCCAATCTGCATTTGGACCATGATTTCCTAAGCTGAATATAAACGATCACACCTCCTCATTTTGCTCTTACACATCTGGGAGTTTCTTACACCCTGGAAGTAGCTGCTTCCAATCTGAGTGGGAGACAGCAGCCCCAGACAGGGTCCTCAGTGGGCCTAAAACTTCTGGAGGCCACCACCTGCAGGACCTCCCTTCCTCCCTCAGGATGCTCTGGGTGTGCGGCTTTGCTGGAAATGCTGCTCCCCGGGTCAGGAGACAGGAGCTGGTATTGAAGGAGCTTTGGCTGATGTGTCATATCTAGAGCAAGACAGTAGGAAAAGATTGGCTCAGAGCAAGGCTTCCCGCTCCAGTGATGCTGAGCAGGTGCCCGGAATGTTCCCCACTGGGCCGCCCCCCAACTCGGCTGACTCGGTCCACTTGGCCATTTGTCCAGGGGCACCATGTGAGGGTGAAGACAGGCCTTTCTGTAGGTGGGATCTGCTATCATACCACATTTACTGCAGAAAGCAGTAACAAAACCCAAGGCACCTGTACGAAAATTAGTAAATAAACCAGCAGCCGGCTGGGCCCATTTTAGCACCACCTTGGATCTCTGCTCCCAAGTTGCAGACCTGTGGCAGGGCTGTCACATGCCAGCAGCCACAGTGCTCCCACCCGGTCTCCGTGGAGCGCTGGCTGAGGCGGGCAGCGTGTGGTGGTGAGAGGGAGGATGCTTCGGTCTGGGGAGACACGCAGAGCGGTTTGCATATGTGCTGTCTACCCAGTGGTACCCGCGGCAGCCCATCAGGGTAGGTGGGCAAGGTTGGGGGCCGAGGCCCAGGTCAGGCAAACCTGCAGAGACGATTCCCCAGGAAGGATCCATGGACAGGAGCCTGGGGGGCTGAATGCTGCCAGAGGCTTCCTTAGCATTTCTTACCAGCCAAGTGTTAAAGCTGCCCCCAGGGCATAGAGGAACCTGGGCAGGTGTGGAAGGGGGACGCCAGGTCTCCCTCCCATGCCCCCTTCCCACCCTGGTTGGCCAGATGCAACTCTTTCTCTGCCCAGTGATGTTTTAAGACGTCAGACACACTTGAGCCTTCTTGAAAAAAGAAATCTCTGAGGGACCGACCCCACCCTTCAGTCCTCCAAATTGACCAAATACGGCTTCTTCTCAGGAACAGGCGTTGTTTTCTTCTACCCTGATGGGATCCTGTCAGGAATGAGGGTTTTCACAAGGGAAACAATGCCCTTCCCTCAGCGTGGTGACCAGCGTGCTCCGAGGGGAAAGGGGATTTTCCACATGGCCGCTCCACCGCCTCGCTCCCCGCAGAAGGTTTAGATGCGCCCCAGCAAGCTGGTTGTCTAGTGTTTCTTAAATTGTCATTGTCACAAAGATTCTTTCTGCTTCACTTCTCCCAAAGTCCTCCTCTCAATGCCCCCCCTTGGGTCCTAGGAACAGTAATTGAGCCATTCAGGGCCCAGCGTGGGGACTGGTCCCACACGGCCATGCAGGGGCCCTTTGTCTGCCTTTGTGCTCAAGGAAGGCCTCAGCGCTGTCGGTTCTCATAGGGTGCTCACCACGCAACCCAGGCATTTGCAGGGGACTGTCCCAGCCTCACGGGCGGCTAGCAGTGGCAGTTTGAGCCTGTCAAGTGGGCGAGGTGGGGTTTTTCCCTCTTTCCTGCTTTCTAACTGCTCTTTCTTCCTTTTCTCAACACGTGTAGGTGGTAGCTAGTTTGAGCACCAAATCTAGCAGCCAGTGGTTAATGACAGACACCTCCTATCACACGCAGGGCAAGCTGTGATGTCCTTCTTTCTGCAGATAGCCCTTGTCGTGCTTGAGGGCCCCACCTTCGCCCCCATGCCCTTGAGAGAGCCCTGGGCCCCCAAACAGCACGAGCTTCCCTCTGCCCTGCAGGCCCAGGCACTCGGGGACTGCCCGCTGTGGTGTACCATACAAACCCATGGCCCACTCAGTCACCTACGGCTGGAGATGGGACCACGCAGGAAAAGTGGTTCTCTTTTGGGGCATGACTGCATTTCCAAACCCGGTCCAGGGTGAATAGTGCCAGTCCGTGGTCTGAATTCCTGTAGCACAGGTGGTGAGGGGTGGCAGGGGCTGTGGTGTTGAATCCAGCCCTGGTCCCCTGGCCTTTTCCCTCCCTCTTCTCTGTTCCTGGCAAGCTAGAGCCACATAGAAAGGGGTGAGTGTGTGGCTGGCAGCGTTCCTAAGATAAGTTGTTCAACAAATGTTTACCGGGAACCTAGTGTGCACCAGGTATTGTTTTTCCAGTACCCGACTCACTTGAAGAATATATTCTAATGCTTTTATATTTCATAAGGGGAAAGAGCTACTAGTGACATAGAAATCAAATTTCAGACCTATCTTTCCAGCCACAAATGGTTTTCTCTTATTCCTACACCTCTGTGCCATTGGGACCCTGGAATGCCTCTCTGCTTTCACTCCTGGAGGTCCCTCCACAAATGCCAAGCCTGTGCCAAGGTTCTGAAGGGTTCAGCTCAAACCAAGCCCTCAAAATATTAGTGACAATTATCTCTTCCAATGATACTTTAATTTTGGAAAAGGATCTTTGGGGCATAGGACTAATTCTTTACTTTGAAATAATAGGTATCTAACGGTAGAATGTCAGGCTGCGTAATAAATCAGCAGAAGAGTCACATACCTGCCACAGCCACTCTCCGGAAACATTTAGGAGTACCTGCTGTGTGTGCAGCACTGTGCTGGGCTCTGGGGGTGCAAACATTGCTGAGACCCAGTCCTCACCCTCAGAGAGCTCTCTGAGACACAGGTGAGACAGACACCTCAGCACCTTGGGGTCGGGTAAGTGCTGAGAGGGGGGAATTGGGGAAGCCAGAGGAGCACCTAGCTGGGCACTCGACTCAACGTGGGCTTGGGGAAGACTCCCCCAAGGAGATGGCATTTGAGCAAAGCCTCCATGTCTCTTCAGGAAATTAAATTTAACTAACTGTGTGGGTTCCACTGAGCTTAGTGGTCGTGTTGATGTGACAAGTTGTGTTCTGAGTTCTCCATTTATAGAGTGTTTCAGATGCGCTGATGCGTACCTTGAGAGCTGACTACCAAACTATGGGGCCTGGATGGTTGGCTTTCCAGGGGAGGGGTATCCAGAAGCTTCCATCTTGCTGTGCACATTTCTCTAACTGATCTATAGCTATCTGGAAATTATAGCATTCAGTATTCCTTCCTTGGCTTGGAAGATTTTATGGTCTTCCAGTGGTTATTGTCAAAGTCAGGTGTCTCTGGGAGGGAATGCAGCAGAAGCCATCATCAGCTAATAGTTGCTCTAGAATTGTTCTGGAAATATGGTGTCTGGCCCAGGGCCAGGGCCAGAGCCAGGGGGAAAGAAGGGGAGGGATGAGATGGGGTTAGGAGGAGAAAGGCAGAGGGATTTCCTGTCTTGCCACAAGGGGACTTGCTCTGCTGTCTGACAGTCCGCACTTCATCGAGCTCCTCCACAAAGCTCTCCCATCAGGAGAAATGGGCCTGTGTCTTTCCAGTCCAAAATGCCATCAGGAGCAAGCTCTTCCTGTGCCCGAACCCCTAAGAGGAGTGTATGATCACGTGATGGCAGCAGTATGTGAGGATATTACACCTGCTCTGCCCTGACGCTTCACTGCCAAGCATCTAAATAAGTATCTAAGTGGAGAACCAGCTGGGAAGCACAAGTCCTGGTGTTCAGAAAAGCAGCGGCTGCCCTGAGCATGGAGGGCACAGCCTCTGCGGCTGTCTGCCCATGTGTTCTCCAACTCCTCTGTGCACAATTCCAAGGGGGCAGATTTTATTTCAGGCTTCTTTAGAAGACAGGACAGCAGGAGAGGAAATCGCTTTAGAGGAAAGAAAATGAGAAGCATTTGATGGAAGTCATTTATAGGAAACTGAGAGCAAAATTTGGCCCCAGGAGAATAAAGTTTGTGGGAGGAGACAACAGGGTCTGGCCCAGACTTGTCATTTCACCATTTAAATAGAGATCAAGATGCTGAAGTGCCCAGGAGACATCTCTTGTGTGACTTACCCAGTGACTTCTGAGAGATGGACCCAGGCCACCAGACATGAACAGAATTACCAAGTGGCTGGAGGAACACCAGATTTCCCAGCACACAGTGAAGGGGACGTTAGCGCTAAAGTTCTGTGGGAAGTTATGCCGGATGGGGCTGAGGACGGCAGCAAAGCCCAGCACCCATACCAAGGCAGCTCCCTGCCCACAACCAACCACATTCGCACCCTAACTAAAAACTGAAGATGTATGACACTTGAAGATTTCTTCTCTCCGCACCTGCTTAACCCTTTCTCTCAGCCTTACTAAATTTTTGCTGCTCTCTTTTTGGTTAATTTTACAATGTCTAAATGTCTATTAAAAAAAAAAAAACCACCATGAAACACTATGCATATCAACTTTGAAATAGGAGAAAAGAAAACCATTAGTGAGATCTATTTCCTTCCTTCTCCAGAGCCCAGGAAGATGGCTGGCACACAGGAGGGAAGAGGGGAAAGGAGAAAAAGAGGAGGGAGGAAATTGGCTGTGGATGAAGTGCCCGGAGAACAGCCTGCGCGAGGGCACCAGTCGGCCAGTCACTCCCTCGTCTCAGGTCTCCTGATGGAACGTTTTCAGCTTCTGGAAAATCTCTCCACCTTTCTCTCTTTCTAGGGCTGTAAAAAAGATGGGATAGGGGTGGGCAACTTGGTATGTCACTGAAACCTTTGCCTGATGGGAAGAATAGCCTGTGGATAATTGTTTAATGTATTGCATTTTGAAAAAAACTCACAGAAAACATATCATTCAATGTCAGGATTAGGGCCAATTAGACAAGTAAGACAAACCTCCTACTAAAATGAAAGGCTCTCGGATTGGGTGAAAAATGACACCCAACAATATGACATATACGAAACATGCAAATGTCTGCTCCCAAGAAGGTGGAGTGGGCATGCTCACCCCTATCCTTTCTGCCAAGGACTAGAAACACCGGATATTATGTATCAGAGCGCGCATAAGAAGCTGCTGAGAGGTGGAGGCTTAGAAGGCAGACCAGCCAGGAGCCTCAGGACCTGAGGAATGACACCGCGGGGGACCCCCTGGGTTTTCTGCGTGCCCCATGTATTCCAGAGTTGGAGCTGCAGACGCCAGCAACCAGGAAAAGGCTAATGTGCTCAGCAACAACACAACGACAACAAGGAAGAAGAAGAAAAGGAAGAAGCCTACTTTAGCCAAAGGAAAGGGGCAGAGCCTGGCAAGACAAAAGATTTTTAGAAGGTAACGCTTTATTCTAGCCCAGCACCGTGGAATGTGGCCGCACGTCCGCCCATGCCAGGAGAGGCCACGTGGGAAGCACAGCCGCCCACGCTCACTAGGCTGTCACGAGGCGATGCAGCCCTGCCACCGGGGCTGTGTCAAAGGAAGCCTAGCAGCGAGCAGGGGTTTTCATCTCTATTGGCCAGTTAACGAGGCCTCTACCCTGTCCACTGCAGTGTCATTGGAAACCACGTGAGGAGCCTGGGTTTATTCCCCCACTCAGCAATCACGAGTCGCCCTGTCCTCTCCCACTGTGGTAGTGTCAGAGGAAGCCAAATGGAAAGGGTCAGGACATTCACTACCACCCAGTGGTAAGGAGGCCACTCCTTGGTGGTCAGTGGAGCTGAGCAGAGCAGAAAGGAGGCACTCCTGCCCTCCCACCAGGTGCTAGCAGCAGAGGCCCAGTGGGGAGCTGGACCTTCCTCCCCACCCAAGCCGTACTGAGGAGCACTTCCCCGCCTTGGGTGTCGCTAGAGACTGCAATGCATCCTTCATTCCCTGAAGGGGCAGTGTCATAGGAAGTTAGCTAAGACAAGCTTTAAATAAGATCCAGCGTCTCATCATAGAATACCCCAAATGTCAAAATGTGCAAGCTTCAATCAAAAATCACTCATAATACCAAGATCCAGGAAAATCTCAAACTGAATGAAAAAAGACAATTAACAGACACCAACACCAAGATGTCAGGATGTTAAAATTATGTGAAAACCACTTTAAAGCAGCCATTAGAAAGGATTCAATGAGTAATTATGAGCATGCTTGAAACAAATAATACAATAGAAAGTATGACCAAAGAAATCGTCTCAGTAAGGAAATGGAAAATGTAAACGACCCAGTGGAAATGTCAGAATTGAAAAGTATAGTAACTGAAATAGAAATGTCAGTAGATAGGCTCAACAATAAAATAGAGGGGACAGAGGAAAGAATAAGTGAACTGGAAGATACAATAGAAATTACTGAATTTGAACAACAGGAAGAAAATAGACTTAAAAAAAAAAGAAAAGAGTCTCGGGGACCTATGGGATTATGATGAAATATATAAATTTACATTATTGTGGTTTCAGAAAAAAAAAAAAAGAAAGAAGGTGGGGCTAAAAAGTACTCCAAGAAATAATAGTTGAAAAGTCCCCCAATATGGCAAAACATATAAACCTACAGATTCAAGAAGCTGAGTGACAAATAAGATAAATCCAAAAACTTAAGGTGCATCATAACTAAAATTCTGAAAATTAAATACAAATATAAAATCTTAAAAGTTGTTGGAGAAACAATACCTTATCTCTAGGGGAAACCCAATCCAAATGACAGAAGACTTCTCGTCAGAAACCACAGAGGCCAAAAAGAAGTGACACAACATTTTTGAAATGTTAGGGTGGGGGAAGAACTGTCAACCCGAACGCTATATCCAGTATAAATATCCTTTAGGAATTAAGAGGAAATCAAAATATTCTTAGAGCAAGGAAACTGAGAGAATTTGTCACCAGAATAGCTACCCTAAAAAAGCGGATAAGAGAAGTTATCTAAACAGAAGAGACATGATAAAAGAAGGGATCAAGAAAATTAGGAAAGAAGAAAGAATGTGGTAAACAAAGGGACTAAGTTCAACCCGCTTCCCTTCTCCTTTTGAGTTTTCTAAATTATGCTTGACGACTGAAGTGAAGATTATAACACTATCTGCTGTGATTCTACACGGATGTAGAGAAAATATTTTAGATAATTATACCGTATGCAGGGGAGGATAACGGGATGAAAGAATGGTAAGGCTTTTACACTTCACTCAAATGGTTGATACAGGTAGACTGTGATAAGTAATGTATACAGAATGTAATTCCTAGAGCTCTGAATACTAAAACACTGTTCAGAGAGATGCACCCGAAAATACTCTTTTTAAATAAATCAGAATGAAATGCTAAAACAGGCCCAGGTCACGCACAGGCAGGCAAGGAAGAGAAAACAGAAATGAAAAAACACAGGAAACAAACAGAAAAAGAAAATAAAATGGCAGCCTGAAGTTCTAATATAGCAATAATTATATTAGTTTTAGATCATCTAAATGCAGAATTTAAAGATAGAAATGGTCAGAGTGGATTAGAAAACATGAATTAATTATATGCTGTCAATAGGATAATATAAATAAGTTGAAAGTACAGGGCTGGAAAATGACATATCATAAAAACATGAATCAAAAGAAAGCAAGGTTAGATGTATTAGTATCAGATAAAGTAGACATCAGAGCAAAGAAAAGTATCAGAGACAGATTAAAACAATATATTATAACAAAAGGGTCAATCTACCAGGAAGATATGGCAACGCTAAATGTATGCACCAAAGATTACAGCTATAAAATACATGAAGCAAAACTGATATGAGAGAAGTGAAAGGAGAGATAGGCAAGCCCACAATCATAGTTAGAGACTTCAACACCGCTCTCTCAACAAATGACAGAACAACTAGACAGAAAATCAAAACATGTAGAAAAACTCAACACCATTCACACACAGGATCTATAGACATTTATGGAACACTCTGCCTAACAACAGCACAATACATTATTTTCAAGTGCCCGTGGAACATAACCCAACACAGACCATAGCTTGGTACATAAAGCAAAGCTCAAAAACTTTTCAAAGGAAATAAAAAATACATAGAACAGAATGAAAATTAAAATACCATATGTCAAATTGGTGAAATACAACTAAAACGATGTTGAGAGGGGAATTTACAGCTTGCATGAACAAAAGGAAATGTTTCAAGCCAATAACCTAAGCTCCCACCTCAAGAATCTAGAAAACAAAGAGCAAAGTAAATCCAAAGAAAGCAGAAGGAAGTAAAAATTATAGATAAGAGCCAGAATTAGTAAAATTGAAAACAGGAAAAAAAAATAGAGAAAACCAATGAAATAAAGAGCTGAATCTTTAAATAAAAATCAGTGGAAGTGATAACCCTCTAGCAAGACTAACAAAGATAAAACACAAATTGCCAGGATCAGTGATGAAGGGAATGATATCAGTATAGACCCTGAAAACATCTGAGTGATAGTAAGAGAATACTAAGAAAAATTCTGTTAATACACACATTTAACAACTTGTATTGTTAAATGTTGTATTAATACAACAATTTAACAACTTAGGGGAAGTAGACCAATTCTTCATAAACACTTACTACCACAGCTTACTCAACATGAAATAGATAATTTGGATAGCCCCATAACTATTAAGTAAATTAAATTCATAATTTAAATATTTCAGAGAAAGAAAACCCCAGACCTAGATGCTTTCACTGGATAATTCCACTGAACATTTACAGAAGAATTAACACCAGTTCTACATAATTTTTTCCAGAAAGTAGAAGAGGAGAGAAATACTTACCAATTTATTTTATGCAGTTAGTATTCTCCTGATACTACCAAAATTAGACAGAGATAGAATAAAAAAGGAAAACTACAGACCAATATCCTTTATAAATACATATAAAATCCCTAAAGATATTAATAAATAGAATTCAGCAACATATAAAAAGAATTATACACTGTGACCAAGTGTGGTATACTCCAAAGATACAAGGTGGGTCCAATTTTCACAAATCAATCTCATTCCTCATAGTGAAGGGCAAAAGAGAAAAAAAATCACATTATCATATCAACTGATACAGAAAAAGCGTGTGACAAAATTTAACACTCATTCATAATAACAACTTTTAGACAAATAGGAAGAGAGTAGAACTTCCTCAGCTAGATAAAGAGTATCTACAAAAATCCCATAGCTAACATCACACTTTGTGATAAAAGATTGAATGCTTTCCCCTTAATGTTAGGAACAAGCCAAGGATGTTTGGTCTTACTATTCCTATTCAATAGATTACTGGAATTTCCAGCCAGTGCAATACAGTAAGAAACAGAATAAAACGCATATACTTTTAGATCAGGAAGGAAGAAAAAAAAAAACAGTTCTATTTATAGAGGACATGATTGTTTATGTAGAAAATCTCAAGGTTCTATGAAAAAGAAAGAATGAAGGGAGGGAGGAGGAAGGAAGGGAACAAGGAAAAAAGTTGAAAGAGAGAGAGAAAGAAAGAAAGAGAGAGAGAGAGAAAGAGAAAGGAAGGGAAGGAAGGAAGGAAGAAAAAGAAAAGGAAAGAAGGCAAAAAGGAAAAGAAATTCCTAGAACTAATAAGTGAGTTCAGCAAGGTTGCAGATAAAAGGTGAATGTTAAAGAATTAATTGTATTTCTACATACAATTGTCACTAGTTATCTGGGGGGAATTGATTCCAGAACCCCCCCCCAGACATCAAAATCCACCAAAATGTTCAAGTCTCATATAAAATGGTAGAGTATTTGCATATAACCTATATATATCCTCCTGTACACTTTAAATCTCCAGATTACTTATAATACTTAATACAATGTAAATGCTATGTACATAGTTGTTATATTGTATTATTTAGGGAATAGTGACAAGAAAAAAAATCTGTACACATTCAGAACAGATGCAGCCATCTTCCCCACCCCACCCCCAAATATTTTTGATCCACAGTTGGTTGAATCCATGCATATGGAACCCATGGATACTGGAAGGCAGGCTGTACTATGAAACTGGACACCAGAATTTTTAAAAATCATGTACAATTTCTCAAAAAATAACAAATGCCTAGGTATCTAACAACACATATATAGGACATATATGCTAAAAACTACAAAATGCTGGTGAAACGAATCAAAGTAGAGCTATAGAAATGGAGAGACATACCATATTCATCAATTGGAAGATTCAGCATAGTAAAGATGTTATTTCTCCCCACATAGATATATATGTTTAACACAATTTCTATCGAAATCTAAGCCAAATTTTGTATTGCTATAGACAAAATTATTTTAAAATGTATATGGGAAGGTAAAAGAACTAGAATAGTTAGAACAATTTTGAAAAAGAATAAAGTGGGAGGAATCAGTCTATCCAATTTCAAGACATACAACTACTGTAATCAAGATGATATGGTATTGGCAGATGAATGTACACATAAATCAAGATCAAAATACAGAATGAAGAAATAGACCTGCACAAATATGCACAACCAATTTTTGATGAAGTGGCAAAAAGCATTCCAGTGGAAAAAGATAGCCTTTTCAGCAAGTGGTGCTGAAGTAACTGGACATCCATTGGCAATATAAGAAAAAAAGAACCTCAACCTAAGTTTCAGACTTTATTTAAAAATGGATCATGGGCTTAAATGTACATAAAACGTAAAACTACAAAACCTTTTATTTAAAAAAAGTACATAAGAGAAAATCTTTGGAACTATGGTTAGACAAAGAGTTCTTAGGCTCAACACCAAAAACATGATCCATAAAGGAAAAATTAATAAACTGGACCTCATCAAAATTGAAAACACTTGCTTTGTGAAAGACCATGTTAAGATAATGAAAAGATGAGCTACAGTCTGGGAGGATATATTTGCAAACCACGTATCATGGAAAGAAGTAGTTCCTAGAATATACAAAGAATAATCAAAACTCAACAGTTAAAATAATCCAATTAGGAAAAGGGCAAAAACTATAAACAGACATTCCACTGATGAAGATAGAGATGGCAAATAATACATGAAAAGACATTCAACATCATTACCTATTAGGGAAACGCAAATTAAAACTATAATAAGATGCCACTATTGACCTATCAGAATGGCTAAAATAAATAAAAGTGATAAACATAATGCATAATACATTTGTACATTGCTGGTGGGAACATAAAATGATACAGCTACTCTGGAAAAGAGTAGGGCAGTTTCTTAGAAGACTAAACCTTACCATACAGCCCAGAAATTATACTCTTGGGCATTTAACCCCAGAGAAATGAAAACTTATATTCACACAACAACTTATGTATTAATATACATAGTAGCTATATTCATAATAATCCAAAACTGGAAACCACCCAATTGTCTTTCATTGGGTGAATGGTTAAGGAAACTGGTATGCCCATACCACGAAACAGTCCTCAGCAATAAGAAGGAATGCACTATGGATACATTAATTTGGGTGAATCACTAGAAAATTTTGCTGAGTGGAAAAAAAACACCACCAAAAGGTTACATATTGTGATTCTGTTTATGTAACATTCTTGACATGACAAAAATATGAATACTTGAAGAACAGATTAGTGGCTGCCAGTGGTAAGAAGGGGAGATGTTTGCAGGGACAGGAAGGAAGTAGGTGTGGCTATAAAAGGGCAATATAAAGGATCTTTGCAGTGATGGATTTTTTTTTTTTCTGAGACAGAATTTTGCTCTGTTGCCCCAGGTAGAGTGTAGTGGCATCATTATAGCTCATTACAACCCCAAACTCCTGGGTTCAAGCAATCCTCCTGCCTTAGCCCTCTGAGTAGCTGGGACTACAGGCAGAAGCTACCATGCCCATCTAATTTTTTCTATTTTTGGTAGAGGTGGCGTCTCACTGTCACTCAGGCTGGTCTGGAACTCTTGACCTCAAGGGATCCTCTTGCCTCCACCTCTGAGAGTGCTAGGATTACAGGTATGAACCACTGCTCCTGGCCAGTGATGGATCTTATTTTATCAATGTCAATATGCTGGTTGTGACATTGTACTATAGTTTTATAAGATGTTACCACTGGGGGAAACTGGGAAAAAATATACGACATTATCTCTACATAATGTCTTACAATTTCATGTGAATCTATAATTATCTTGAAATAAAAAGTTTCATTTAATTTTTGAAAAATCAGAAGCTAAAAAAAATGCATGAAAAACAAAGTGGCTCAGAAAAGCTCAAAAGAACAAAGAATGACCAAGCAAACTCTAATAATAACAACACAGTATGGGTATAGTATTAAACACTGTTCCAGGTTGAATTCAAGGCAATAAAAACCATTGTGTATAGACAAAAATACTATAAAGGTCAGAGTCTATAATGGGGATTTAAATATCATACATTTGTGCACAATATGAAATAATACAATGATATATAAGACATAACTGTAGGAAAATCCAGGAGCAATCTCAGAGACTCTAGAGTGTTATGAGAATTTTAACTCACCTCTTGCCAAGCCATGAAGAAACTTTTGAGTGCAATAAAGTTGAGCTAACAGACATAAATTGAATTTTGTTTCCTGACAATAGATATTACATCTTTACAATGTCTCATGAAAGGTTTTTTTGTTTTGTTTTGTTTTACCAAAATGGATCATATGTTAATCTATAATGAAAACTTCAATAAATTCCACAAAGTAAAGATAATTTGGGTAACATTCTTTACATCAGTAACATAACATTAGCAATAATAATATAGAACCAAAAAACTCTAGCTTATTCACTTGCCAATTTAGACACTCTTTTGAAACTAATATTTGACCAAAGAAGAAATTTAAATTGAAAAGGCTAAATTGCTAAAATTAATAATGGAAACATGAAACAAAGAAAAAATAAAACACACCTTTAAACCTTGATGAGAAAGGATGAATTAAGGATCCAATTTATAAGTGCTATGAAAATGGAAAGAAATAATAAATATGAAAGACATAAACTAATAAAATAGAAAAGAGTAGAAGCCCAAGCTAATTACCTGGAAAATAAATGAGCAGACCATGAACTAAAACAATCCCTGGCTCACTTAGTCAAGAGAAAAAGGGAGATCATGTAGATAACCCGGAAGTGGAAACAAAAAGAGAGAAATAAACACAGGTACCAAAAAACTTGTAAACAACATGGAAGAGTGTTCTATAGCATTATTTATAATTAAAATTTGAATGCTGGGTGCAATGAGTGGTTGCTCTAGGAAAATATAAGTTGCTGGAAGAAATTGAAAATCTAAGAGTTTCATGACAGTGGAATAAAGTATCGAAGACCAGTGCATTCAATAATCATTCACTGAATGTTCACTGCCAGGACATTGGGAAATCCAGGGGAGGGGAAAAGGCCCTGCTTTCAGGGAGCTCTCTGTGAGTTGGGGGTGTGGGGAAAATAAGGGAACCTCAGGTTCATAAGAGCTGGTGGCCAGGGGCCGGATGGAGGAGCAGGGAGAGGCCCCAGTGTGTTGATGGCACTGCCCTTCACAGCTGACTTCTTTCTCTCCCATCAAGCCCGGGACCTTCCTGAACCTCTGTTTCCTAGCAGGGTGAAATGCAGCCCCTGGCGCTTCCCTCTCGGACTGCTGGGAAGATAAAGAATCATGTATGTCATGTGGTCCCCAGAGCCTGGCGCCTGCCTGAAAAACACCCCACAAATGGAAGCTGCTCTTGGCAGCAGATGGGGAGCTGCCCTCTAAGGCCATCAGGAAAGCTTCCTGGGAAGGTGGCATGGGTCAGGATCCTGAAGGAGGAGCTGGAAGCAGAGCCCGTTCCAGGCTGCGGGGCAGCGTGTGCAGCAGACATGAAGGAGGAGTCAGCGGGGAGCACTGGGCATCTCCCACATGGTTTTCTGTGACTGGAGAAAACAGCAGCAAGGGGAGTGGCCTGGGGGCCCGGTGGGAGGGGTCACAGAGAGCCTCGTATGCTGTGGTAAAGTCAATGAGATTCAGCTGAATATTCCCGGATACACAGGTATAAAGTAAACCAGGTGAGCCTGGAAATTTCAGCACCTGACACCGTCCATTAATGAACCATCTTAAGCTGCTCCACAGAGGTTCGGGATGAGTCTGAAGGGCAAACTCCTGGATGCAGAGAAGGCCCTGGTCTGCCCCTCCCTGTGGCCCCACAGCTAGAGCCAGCAGAGTGAAGACTGGGTGGCTGGGCCACACCCAGTACATTCTTCCAGTTCTGCCTTCAAGAAGGCTTTCCTGACAATTAATCCAGATGGTCACTGAGGGCTTCCTTGTACCTATAAATTCTTGAAACCTCCTTTTGACCTCATCACCACTAATGCAGGACTCCTCTACTTCCCCATAGGATCTAGAAGAGTCTTCTCAGCTCATTCTGGCCTTCCCTCCCTAGCTGCTGTTGTATTCGATGAT